CCCGGCGGCTCCCACAGCCGAGGGAGGATCGTCCGCGGCAACAACCGGGGGCAGCGACGGAGGAAGAGCCGGTCCCTGCTCTCCGTGGGGGGCCGAGCCGCGGGACGGTGCTGGGGGTGTCACCCCCCACCAGTGTCCGCAGGGGAGAATTCAGCAAAAATTAAAATCCCGTTCAAACTGAGGGCATTTAACCCAACCCGTCCTTCCCATCCCACCCATCCCATCCCATCCCACCTATCCCATCCCATCTCAGCCATCCCACCTCATTTGTCCCGTCTCATCCCATCCCATTCATCCCTTCTATCCCAGCCCAGACGAGCCCATCTATCCTATCCTATCCTATCCTATCCTATCCTATCCTATCCCACCTACCCCATTTATCCCATCCCATCCCATCCCATCCCATCCCTTACCTCTACTAGATTTTGTGGGATTTTTTCATCTCCTTCCTCCTCAAATCATTTCTCCTTCTCCCTGGCCTCCCGCTACTTCCTTTGTCTCCTGGCAGGGAGAGACACCCTTCAATAGTCTCCAGGTGCAGTCATCAAAGAGGGAGGAGCTGTGACACTCAGCTCTTTCCAGATGGGCACCACATGCCCCTCCATCCCATGGTGTAAGCAGCCTCAAAGAAAGGACACCACAGTGCAGCTGGTACCATTCTGCAGTGTTTTGAGTGAAAGGAAACAAGGCAGAGTTTGAGGATGAATTTCAGAACCCCTTCAAGAGCTGTGGCAGGATGAGCTCTTGCTTGTCCTTTCCAACAGATTTTGCCTCAGGGAGTGATTGTGTCTCCTAATGCTGTGTTAGGGTCCACCTTGATTCAGATGCAAAGGCAGCTGAGCACAGATCTTTGTGTACAGAAAGTGATCTGATGGCTGAGGGGATTCTGCCTCTGCTCTCTCCTGGTATGCTCCACTGGCCGTTGCCCACAAAATTAAGGGCAGGGGTCCCTGCAGAGTCAGCCGGGATGTGTAGGGTTCAACTATACCCATCTATCCCATCCCATCCAGCCCCCGGGAAGTCGGATAAGATCATTCCAATAAAATAAAGCCCCGTGAATTCTCGGGACGTGGGTTCTCGCCGGTCACCCGTGGAGCAGAGGATGAACCGGGGAAGGGTGGCGGGGGTCCTTCCTCGGCGCCTGTAACCCCCTTATACCGCGGTCCAGCAGCCTGGGGTCGGGCCGGGCCAGGTTTGACGGGGTGTGGGAGGAATCCGCCCCCCCCCGGGTCCGTGTCCCGCTCCCAGCTCTCCCCCCCGGTGTGTCCCGGCCGGGAGGACCGGCGGGCCGTGAGCGGGACCCCAAAACCGGGAGGGAGACGCGTCCCTTGGGGATCCGACGGGGGATGGCAAGTCCCCGGTATCCAGGTGGGCG